AGGCAGCGGGTGGTCTTGGCAAAAGATAAGGAGTAGGAAAGTTGTGGTTCCCCACAGATCAGGGCAACTTAACCCCTTGGTTCCCACGAGGACGTGAGCCTGTGGGGCAGTTCCGCCCAGCAGCCCCCACCTCCCCTGCGGCAGAGGTCCCACATCGTGGCCTCCTCGTGGCCTGCTGACAATGTGATACCTACACAACCTCACACACACAGTCATACGGGGTCACCGAGTCCAGTGCTCACATTCAACGGCGATGTAGGACCAGGGTCACTGTGACGCCAGCCGCTCACCTAAAATGAGCAAATGGCTCCTCTTCCACGGCCGGTGACTGGCTGGTCACCCACTACACTCTTGACAAACCCACGAAAGGGAGAAGGCAGCCATGACACCCAAGGTTGGGGAGAGGCCAGACAGAAGTCCAGGATTTCAGGTGCAGCAGCAGGGCCAGCTTGAAGGGAGGAGGCCCTGGCGTTTCCGAGAAAGCCTCTGGGGGCCTCTACGTAAACCCTCCAGCTCTCGCCTGGGGCCGCGTCCTGCTGCCCACGCTTTTCCTCCGAGCTGTAGACTGGCAGCAGGAAACCCGCATCGTCCCCAAAGCTCTATCCAGAACCCTAAAAGATGAGCCCCGGAGTAAACCTTTTAGCCAGCTTCTCTGCAAATTCTCTGCACTTTTAGAGAAAACTGAGGCCCAGAAAAAGGACACGGATTTCTCCTAAATCCAAAGCCCAAAGTCCATGACTAGTCAGTGACAGAATACGGACTGAAATCGTACTGGGTGGAATATTCTCCCCACCTCACCTCCACCCCTTCCGCTGCCTGAAAACTCTTCATCTTCAAGCCTCAGCCCGGTGGACACCTCCTCTGGGAAGCCTTCCTAGCCCCCTCCCTCCTTCCAGTTAGGGCAAGAGACCCTCTTTTCTCAACCTCATTAGAGAACTTCAATCCAGCTGGAAGGCTCTGGCTCTACCTGTCTCCACCCAATGGAACAAAGGAAGAACGTCTAGGTTATTTTACGTCCTCAGTGCCTGGCACTTGGTGAGGCCCAGTCAATGTTAAATACAATTAAGTGCACGTCTCGGCCGGCGAGGAGCGCTCTCTGCATGTTCCACGTGACCCTCTCCCTCTCTCTGTCTGAACTGAATCTAAACTAGCGCATTGACTCTCTCCATACCACTCAGTTCAACCTTCGATTGGTTCTTACATGTCTCGCGCTGTTAGCTTTTGTGTTCCCAACCGGACCCCAGGAGCTGGTATTACACGTGGCATCACGTGTGGCCCGCAAGGCCTGGCACGGCGGGGCTCAGCTTCGGCTGCACGCTGATACCACCTGGGGGACTCTGACACCCACCCAAGGCCCAGGCCAGACCCCACACCGCACGCCACCCCTCTGGGAGCGGGCACCAGATTTTTAACTTCCGCAGTTGGTTCCAGCGTATGCAGCCATGGCTCAGAATCACATTCCTAGAAAGATGTGATAGCAGAAACTGCTTGTTGATTCAGCTGGTTCTGCGTGAGGGTAATGCAATATAATATAGCACAATACAACAGTGAATGACAGTGCAAGAGACACACAAAGTGACACAGAATGAGAAAGGTTGGGGGGAGAAAAGGAGACTGTTCAGCATGGTGTAGCCAGGGGTCCCTTACCCTTAGTGCTGTTGGCATTTTAGGCAAGATTATTCTCTGTTATGGGAGCTGCCCTGTGCATTGTACGATGTTTAGCAGCATTCCCGGCCTTAACCCATTAGATGCCAAGAGCAAACTGTCCCTCCTCCCGCCCCCACAGTTGTGACAACCAAAATGCCTCCAGACACTGCCAGATGTCCCTGAGGCTGGGGGAGCAAAATCACCCCTGGATGAGAACTACCGATGCAGACTAGCCACCAAATCATTTATTGCACGTTTACTTCCCATTTCAACGATAGATCACATGAGCACTTTTCCAAATTTGGCTGAGTGGCAGAGAGTATTCTGGACAATGGGGTCAGTGTCTTGGTGACAGGCATGCAGGGCTGGGCTGTATGCAGGATGAATGGGGAAATGGTTGGTGGGGTCAGCGGTGGGTTCTGAGGCCAGAGAGAATCACACAGAAACTAGATCCGGTAGGTTCAAGGCAATTAAGAGGAGTCAATAGTGATCAGCCTATAAAAGACTGTACCCAAGGGGCACCTGGGTAGTTCAGTCGGTTAAGTGTCCGACTTCGGCTCAGATCGTGATCGCACGGTTCCTGAGTTCGAGCCCCGCATGGGGCTCTGTGCTGACAACTCAGAGCCTGGAGCCTGCTTCAGATTCTGTGTCTCCCTCTCTCTCTGCCCCTCCCTCTCTCTCTCCCTCTCTACATAAATAAATAAATAAATAAATAAATAAATAAATAAATAAGCAAACAAACACACATATATACATTTAAAAAAAAGACCAAAAACAGAACAAAATTTTTAAAAAGCCAGATATTCAGTAAAATCACAAAATTGGAAGCAAGCTGAAGGTTGTCACAGGTGAAGGCCGGTGATGACCAGAGGCCAGGAGAAGGGAAATGGTCAGAGAAGGAGCTCTCAGAAGTTCTGGGCAGGGAAGGACCACATCAGGCCGTGTTTGGGGACACAAGTCTAGCATGGCATGAAGGCTGGCAAGGGAGGGGCACGGGAGGCAGGAAGCTGATCTGCTATGGTCCAAGCCCACCTGCTGCAACAGTCCAAACTCACCTGTTGCCCAGGGCCTAAAACCCTTCAGCCCCTGTGAAGTCAGAGCTCAGAGGAGCCAGGGGCAGATGCTGGCAGAGAAAATGCCCAGTGGCCAACTCCGCTGTTGATTAGAGCCTGTCTCCTGACCACTTGGAGGGGAGCAGCTCCTTTGGAGCCCTGCGAACCAGCCTTCCCAAAGGGGGAAGCCCTCCAGACATCGTGCCAAAAGCACAAGGGGCCAGTTAGAGCCCCCAGGGGCCTCAAGCCAGACGTCCTGCTCCCCACACTCTCTTGGGTTCCCCAATATCTCCCCATATTCCTTCTTAGCCTCTTGGAGCCCCTCTTCCTCTGCCCACCCCTGAGCGTCGATGTCCCCACATGTCAATCCTGGGCCTCTTCTCTTCTAACTGCTTCTCGAACTGTCTATCTAAAGCTCCAGTCTGCATTCCCCCGTTTAAAAACTCCCATTGTCCTCCACTGAACACAAGATAAAGCCCAAGGTACTCCAACCCTTTTTGACCCTGCTCCTGCCCACCTCCCAATTCCCCTCCACCCTGCACTTAGATATTCCAAGCCACATCTGACATACAGGGAGGGAGGAAGGGACGAAGAGAGGGAGGAAGAGAGGAAGGGAGGGAGGAAAAGAGGGAGGGAGGGAG